AGAGAGGTGGACGGGGAGAAGGAGTCACTTGGAGGATGTACACAAACTCAACCCCACCCCAACCCACAACCACACCCCACCACAACCATCCTCCACACCACAACCATCCTCCACACCACAGCTTCCCTCCCTTCAGCAGACAGAGTAGCGAGGTGTGAGAGAGAGAGAGAGAGAGAGAGAGAGAGAGAGAGAGAGACGTGTTCTATCTCTCCACTGGAGGAACATAGTCTGTCGCCTTTATCACGACCAAAAAGAAACGATCTGTGTTAGTGTTGGAGGAGCAGGTGAGGGTGAGAGGGAGGGGGGTGTGGAGGGTGAGGGAGGGGTGGTTGGAGAGTGAGGGAGGGGTGGTTGGAGAGTGAGGGAGGGGTGGAGGGTGATGGCTGTGAGGGAGGTGAAGAAGGAGGGAAGGTTGGAGGGTGATGGTTGTGAGGGAGGTGAAGAAGGTTGGAGGGTGATATAGATGATGAAGAAGGGGGAGGAAGATGAGGGTGAAGGGAGGGAAAGTAGAAGAGAGAGAGAGAGAGGGTCAGAGTGTCTGGAGCGGTGACACCATTCTTGAGTGGTGGAGAGGGCAAGGTCGAGGCCGCCCCCCCTCTCCCCCTCCACGTGCCCTCAACCCTGCTTCCTGCTGCCCACTACCGGTTAGGGGGGAGAGGGGGTGTGGGGTTAGGAGGGGCTGGGAAGGGAGGGGTGAGGGTGGTAGAAGGGTGAGGGGGGGATGAGAAGGGGGTGTGGTTAATGATGAAGGGATGTGGCTAAGGTTAGAAGAGTAGTTATGTGGTGGGAGTGGTAAGCTCTGTGGGTAGGGCTGTTAACATTGGTCAGGCGGTAGTGAGAGCTGGTGCTGCTCCCTTCAGGCGGTGGTCGTGTGGGCTACTGAGAGAGAGAGAGAGAGACATTCATAAATAAACTCAACACTGAATATTATAACAAAATCAATTAATATTTCACCCTAATTAACGATAAATTAACTCATTTTATTTAGGTGTAGAGTCATAGTACTGTTCATACGCTATACAGTACATCCTAAAACAGTTATTAGGAATCCGGGTGAAGTATGTTTGGGTTCTTGGTGCTATGTGACGTCACTAACAGACAGACCGCGAGCCTCAGGGGATACGAACGATCATAACACAACTGTTACGTCAATTACTTTTCAGTCTTATTTTCTTTTCTTTAGTTCGTTATTCTTATAGTTATTATACGTGTAATTTTATTGTCAGTGACTTTGTTTTTATGTTTCCGATCGTAATAAATATAATTTGGTTTTTTGTTGGAAGTTAGACCAATCACATTGCATGATTCAGATCGCTTTAGGGAGAGATAACCAATCACAAAACATATTTGAAAGGTTAAACCAATCACAGTGGATGATTCAGATTATCCCAGAGAAAGACGACCAATCACGGAGAGTTAAAATCAGCACAGAGTCGTAGTAACAGATAAATGCTAAGTAAACATACCGAAAAAGACTGGACAAACACTGGGAAGATTAAGAGGCCATGTTCGACTGTAGCTGTGAGTGTAGGCCTATAGACTGTAGAGGCATTGAAGAGCTGGACATACACATTGAGCTTTCATATACAGAACAATAGAAAAAAATAACCATTAAGCTGAGAAACCGCTAACCAAACCTGACGAACAGAGGGAGAGGCGAGGCGGCCAACCCCACACACCACCAGCCAGCTTTCTCCCGCCAAAACTTGTCACGGATTCCAAAAAAAAAAAATCTTACCTGAAAAGATTGCGTTTTTACCTCATGATATTTACTTCCTTGTCGTGGGCGTACGGGTTTGAGGAGAGGAAGCAGTGGGGGGCGTGGGAGAGCCTGTGTAGAATCATGGATAATGGAATACTCACGATATATCAAGATAATTTAACTTTTTTACACTTTTTTCCCGCCAAAACGGAACAATAACAAACTTCCATGATTCTTCGCGCCAAAAAATCTCACTCGCGCGTACACAAAGAGATTCCGCTGATTCCGATGGATGGAGGTGGAGGATGGAGGGGAGGAAGGGGGAAGGTCACGTCGGAAAAGAAGATGGGGAGGGGTGACCTGCGTTATAATTCCTGAGTATATTGAGCGGGTATGACTGGAGGGTATGGGCTGGGGGGTGATTGGTATACCTCTTCCTAGCATATCAGGTAGCTGTGTTCTCAAGGCCCTGCAGTGGGAGATAGATGACGAGAGAGAGAGAGAGAGGAAAGAAATAATGAAAGAAAGTGAAAAAGAGAGGAGGGAAATAGAGAGAATGTGTGTGTGTGGGGGAGGGGGGTTAGGTTAGGTTAGGTTAGCCTTAGGTTAGGTTAGCCCAGCATTAGGTTAGGTTAGCATTAGGGAATTTAACCTTCAGGAAATTGAGGTAAATGTTCTGGTGAGTCCTGCTCCTCCACCTCACCTAATAAGCTGAAGAAACTCGTCCCACCTGAGGCCAGTAGCGTTATGTTATGTGGTGTATAAAGGCTCCAGGCTTACTCAGACTCCGAGAGACTAGAGAGGCCAGCTAGCTTCCTGTTAGTCTGTCTTTAGTGTTGTGGTTCAGAGAGGGAATGTTGGGTGTGTCTCTCTCTCTCTCTCTCTCTCTCTCTCTCTCTCTCTCTCTCTCTCTCTCTCTCTCTCTCTCTCTCTCTCTCTCTCTCTCTCTCTCTCACCAGCCACAGGGGTAAGACAGGGGTAAGAATGTTGATAACAGGTCGAGGAGCCACAAATATTCGCTAATTACCAGGTGGATGTATGTTTATGTTAGGTGGTGGGCGGCCTACCCTAGTGATGGTGGGTACTAATGGGCCTATCTTGGTGGTGGGTACTATTAGGCCTATCTTGGTGGTGGGTACTATTAGGCCTATCTTGGTGGTGGGTACTATTAGGCCTACCTTGGTGATGGGTACTATTAGGCCTATCTTGGTGGTGGGTACTATTAGGCCTATCTTGGTGGTGGGTACTATTAGGCCTACCTTGGTGATGGTGGTTGTGGTGGTAAGGGTGGTATTATTATTATTGTTGTTATTATTATAAGTTGTATTATTAGTGGTAGTAATTGTTGTAGTGATGGTTGTAGTGGTGGTAGTGATGGTGGTAGTGTGGGCAGACAGGAGAGTAGCAGCAGTTCACCCACACATGACCTACATAGACAACAGCTGTCCGATGAGGTCATGCATACACACACACACACACACACACACACACACACACACACACACACCGATAGACATAAGAACAGCACCATCCCATCTATTGTTAAAATAATAAACAACTCCTGATTTATGTACTGTACAGCCCTGTAAATGTATTCAATGCATATTGTATCATTATGTCTAAATCAAATGTAAGTCTGTATATTTTCAGCTACCGGCTGCAACTCTATTAATAAACCGTTTATTATTATTATTATTATTACACACACATACACACACACACAAACGCATGATGGATTAAGTTCAATTAGGATTAAAATCAAGTTAAAGTTCCATTTGCTTCGGGTAATATCAAGCTCAGTTCAATAAAACATATCTTTACAATATCACATGAAACAATATGACAATAAACGAAGAATTTGAACAACCTTACCTAGACAACAGGAGTTCACAGTGTTCATTTTGGCGTTCATCGTACACCGTATAGATACCTTTTGGCAAGGGTCGTGTTTACCAGCTAAGACACACAACAAAGCCACATCTTATTAATGTTCTCCCTATACTCCCACACACCCGCTCAGGTGACATACTTTCTCTCTCTAGTAAGTGTTTTTTCCCCACGTCGTTTAGAAAGTAATTAAGATGAGATATATTTAAAAAGGCAGAGTAATAACGGAGGATAGTCTGTTTCGTGAGTTACTGGGCTGTGTCTGTCTGTCTGTCTGTCTCTGTGTCTCTGTCTGTCTGTCTGTCTCTGTCTGTCTGTCTGTCTGTCTGTCTCTGTCTGTCTGTCTCTGTCTGTCTGTCTGTCTGTCTCTGTCTGTCTGTCTGTCTGTCTCTGTCTGTCTGTCTGTCTGTCTCTGTCTGTCTGTCTGTCTCTGTCTGTCTGTCTCTGTCTGTCTGTCTGTCTGTCTGTCTGTCTCTGTCTGTCTGTCTGTCTGTCTGTCTGTCTGTCTGTCTCTGTCTGTCTGTCTCTGTCTGTCTGTCTCTGTCTGTCTGTGTCTGTCTGTCTGTCTGTCTATACCACACAGAATTAGAACGTCTTGGGAGTGTACTATAGGAATACGTCTTATGTATATGTATTGTTAATATATGAATGTTATATAAAAAGGAGTTCATGGTATATATGTATTATAAAAGGATCACCTGAAGATTAGACACCCCAGCTTATTACACCTGTTGATTAAATGCCTGTCGCTTACCTATGGGGATTAGGTTAGCTTGGGTTGGTTAGGTTAGGTTGGGTTAGGTTGGGTTAGTGTTAGGTTTGGGTTAGCTTGGGTTGGTTAGGTTAGGTTGGGTTAGGTTGGGTTAGTGTTAGGTTAGTGTTAGGTTAGTGTTAGGTTAGTGTTAGGTTGGGTTAAGGTTAGGTTTGGTTAGTGTTAGGTTAGGGTGTTGAATCCGTAGGTAAAATAATTTAGGGTGTCTAATTTTCAGGTGATCCTAATATAACATATAAATGATAGAGTTATTATAGAATTAAATACTACAATAGACACAGATTTTTGTATAATTGTCATGACACACAAGGGACGATCGTGTGATGGGGGGGGGGTGTAGGTGTTGACAGTGAACCGGAGGAAGATGTGAAGGAGGGAGGAACTGTGATGGAGGGAGGAACTGTGATGGATGTGATAATAACTAACCTCAATATTGCTGTGTGTGTGTGTGTGTGTGTGTGTGTGTGTGTGTGTCCTTCATATACATACACACACACATAAAACTGTTACACATGTATGATCACAGGTGTATGATCTCTCTCTCTCTCTCTCTCTCTCTCTCTCTCTCTCTCTCTCTCTCTTTGTGTGTTTAAATCTAGTAATAAAACACCATTGTTTATATTTGTTTCTATGTTTCAGGGAATGTTTGTTTACACTTCTCGAAAGGGCGGGAAAATCAAGCTACTCAAGACGAAGCTAAAGCAAACGAACTCTAGTGATCTGAGACTTATATAACAAAAAACATATAAGTCTTCTGGAATACTTAAAATATTACCCAGAGTTTTTAAGTATTATCAGAATGAATTATTTGAGAATTATCCTCAATATGTGAAGAGGTCAGTGTAAATGATAGCGTACGTGTGTGGTAACGAATATTGTGGTTTTAAGAGGTATTTTGGTGTGAGGTAATTACTAATGGACAGTTGTAACTAAACGCTGGGTAATTATGCCTCACGTGTGTAGCTGTGATAAAAGAAAACAACTCAAAAAGTGATTAAAGATATTGTGTTGTGTCCCCTCAAGATGGCGGCCACTAGTTTTGCGTCAACATGGTGGCTCTCTGTGGGTCTGAATCACAGCCAGCAGGTGTGAGTGAATCAAGACCAAGGCGCTGAGTGTTTCCCCCGGAAGGTTGTTTGTTCCTTGTTTGATCGGTCCCTGGGAGGCGCTAAGGCCATGGAGACCTCAGTGGAGACCATCCTGCCCCCCGCCCCCAGCCCCTTCTCCTCCTGTGGCATCCCCGCCCCGGCACCCCCCACCAGCCTCCACGACGCCCGCCCTGCCTTGTCTCCCATACATTTCGAGGTTTCTTCTTCCCCTCAGTCACCCACCTCCTCCACTGCCTCCTTCACCTTCTCCCCGGTAACTCCTTCTAGCTCCTCGAGCGTCTCTTCCACGTGCTTTACCATCTCCTCCTCTTCCCTCTCTTCCCCTTCCTCCACTTGTGGCGTCTCACAAACTACGTCTACCCATTCCTTCCCCGTCACCATCGCCATCACCAGCAGTAGCTCAGAGAAGGGGCGTGATGGCCAACAGTGTCACACGGGGTCGTCACGGGCCCAGGAGGAGGAAGCTGGTGGACCTCCCTCAGACTGTGACAGCGATGTGGTGGATCTGATGAAGGTGATGAAGAGGAAAGAGGCACCACCTGACGCAGACCTCCTACACGAGGACCTCAGCACCACAGAGGACGACGACGATGATGATTTCATGGTCCATTTCGCCCACACGGGACGTAAGACTGGTGAGTACTGCACGCCTCTCTTATACCTCCTAATGTGTTCACCTCAGGAAGGTCTTGGTGGTACTCGCTAGGTACTGTACGTGATAGGTACCATCAGGAGATACTTGGTAAAAGGCAGTAATGGGGAGTTGGTACTTGTTAATGGGGAGTTGGTACTTGGTAATAGGCAAAGGGGACTACACTTGTCTATCCCCCATCCACCCTATCCCCCATCCACCCTATCCCCCATCCCCATTCTTTCACGCTTCTGTGGCCCTTGATCCACTCCCCACTCACCTGACAGATACATGTGGGTAAATTAAAGACGATCGGATAGTGTCATAAATAATAGTTAGAAATAAGAACTGTATTGACTGTCTCTCAAACACAGCCAACCAAGACCCTGGGCTCGTGTGTGTGTGTGGTGGGGGGGGGGGTGACTATACCTGTGGTCTGCAGGTGAATTTTGACCCTTAGTCTCAGGTGTCAAATCTCTCCTCCCTCAGTTCCTTGTTCTCTCACTCTATCTCTCTTCACCACTTCTTTATCTCTTACTCTGTCTCTCACATCCCCAGTTCTCTTTCACTATCTTTCTCATCTCAGTTCTCTCCATCTATCTCACCCTCATCTCTCATTAGTAAGGTATCAACAGTGATGTAGACTACACACACACACACACACACACACAGGTAATTATGAACACACACGCCTAGACGCAGACTCACATACATTACCTAGGAGCTGATCCATATATATCGCCAGTGTGTAGTGGTGGTGGTAGGGGCTGACCTCTTAAGTTTGGTCAGCTTGTTTACGAGAGAGTGGGAGAGAGGGAGAGAGAGAGAGGGAGGGAGAGAGTGGGAGAGAAAGAGGGAGGGAGAGAGAGGGGGTGGGAGAGACTGGAGGGCAGGAATTGGAGAAAGTTGGAGTTATGTTGACCACTATGCTCCACCAGGTCATCCTCTGCACACACACACACACTCACTGGGTGTATATTTGATTTAATTAAAGGAAGGAAGAGAGAAATTAAATGTTTTGTTTTATTATGACAATGTGACCGTCCCATGTTATCTAAACCATAGGTAGATATTTTTTCAGTTAAATCGTCATACAAGTTCATACTGATTTATCATGTAAATAGTGCACTCTTAAGTCTATTTACAGCAAGTTTGGTAAGCAATATTTGGCCTTTTACACTATACTCTCTTTTCATATAATTACTTATTGTACGAAACATCGACAGCACAAAGCCCCATCCCCATGGAGACGAAACATCATTATACAAGAGTTTCCCCAAAATCGTACAAGTCTCTTCGTTTTCTGTAGTCGAAGTTTGTGTTTTATTGAAAATGACGGGTGCCGTGTGTGGGTAACTTATCTAATTCTGTTTTTTTAACCATTAGGTGCTCTCTCTCTCTCTCTCTCTCTCTCTCTCTCTCTCTCTGGATAATACCTACACACATCTGTCCCGGTATTAACGTCACACACACACACACACACACACACACACACGCGCACACACACACACACACACACACACAGTATCGCTACAGTTCTTAGACTCACAAAACATATACAGAATTACCTGACGTCACCTGCTGATTATGTGACCACACACCTGTGACGTCTATGTGTGTCAAAAACTACCTGGAGTGCGTGTTAGGGGTTGTAGGGGTGTGTTAGGGGGTGTAGGGGTGTGTCAGAGGGTGTAGGGATATGTCAGGGGTGTAGGGATGTGTCAGAGGGTGTAGGGATGTGTCAGGGGTGTAAGGGTGCGGTTATTGAAGTCTTGTGGATAGACTGTCTTTTGGGGAAGGTGTGTTTGGATGTCTGAGCTAAGGGGAGGGGGGTGTTCAGGTGTTTGCTCTGAGCGAGGCCGTTTATGGTGCGGTAAATTTCAGGTTGAGTTTCCTTCCTCCCTTCCCGCTTACCCCTCCCTCTTTCCTCTTCCCACTCACCTCTCCCTCTCCTTCCTTCCCTCCTCCCTCTATCCCTCTCAACCTCATCCTTCACCCCTCTTTCCCCTCCCTCTTTCCTCTCACCCTGCCCCCCCTCCTCCTCCCAAGGTCACTATCCTCGTATACTGTGAGTTAGTTGTAAAAAAAAATCCCCCTGAATTATCTTGGGTTCGTATCCTCTGAGGTTCGGATGTTGATTATTTGGCTTCATTGGGTTCGTATCCTCTGAGGTTCGGATGTTGATTATTTGGCTTCATTGGGTTCGTATCCTCTGAGGTTCGGATGTTGATTATTTGGCTTCATTGGGTTCGTATCCTCTGAGGTTCGGATGTTGTTTATTTGGCTTCATTGGGTTCGTATCCTCTGAGGTTCGGATGTTGATTATTTTCATTGGGTTCGTATCCTCTGAGGTTCGGATGTTGATTATTTGGCTTCATTGGGTTCGTATCCGGTCTTGACGATTCTTGATTAAATTGACTTAATATTTACCATTGTTTATATACCTGTACTTCTTATGTCCATGCTAAACCAATGTGATCTTATATGACGATTATACATGTGGAAAATAATTTATTCCAGTAACTGATAATGTAAACGATACTAAGAGATTAAATTCATTCTCAAAAGTTCCTACGTTAACTCGTTTCTAACCGACCATTTGAATATTGGTAATAAATATACTAGATGGATTCTCAAACGTGGGAACTTTAATATTTACCTTAAGTTAGGATATTATATAACACCTAACCTTACCCTGACGTGGTGAATAAGGATGGATTCTCAAGGACTTATGCGTGACTATTTCCCTTCGTGTCCTAATGTAGGAATTCAATTGAGGAACATATTTGACTTTTTTTTCCGCATTGAGGTTTGAGAGATTCGTATTTTTGATATATATTAAAGGTAACTTAACAATGGCTGTCAGGGTGGCATCGTAATTCTCTTGAGACTCTACCGTATTTATAATTCAGTTAAGATGAGAAATTTTATGGAAGGTCGCTTATGGATCTGATTTTTTTTAGAGAGAGAGAGAGGGGGGGGGGGGTCTGACATGAGTGCGCATCTACCACTTCCTCTTTCTGCCCCGGGAAAAAGCGCGCTAAATCTCCCGCCGTTTCCTTATTTAGCCAACCGTTCCCGCCCTTCCTCCACACACACACAGTTCAGAGGTTTTCAAGTAATATATGTTACAATTATATATGTATTATATGGGGGACAAGGCCACAAAGATTAAACAATAAAATAAAAATTAAATCTCATATAGAGTTATTTAAAGAAGTAATTACACTGTTTATATACACATTGTTTATATACCTGTTCTGTCTATGTATACCACGCCAACGAAAGTCTCTTTAACAAAAACTTCGGTGACTTCGAATCCCTTAAGCTAACTTGCCACGTAAAGTTTTGTGTCTGATTCTCGCTTTGTTTATCACGCACTTAGTAACGTCAAACCTATACTCGGTAACGCACATCACGTTTTAACTTAGTCACATTACCTGTTTGTCTTAATAAAGGGTAACGTCATGTACCTGTATAGTTAAGAAAAGTAGTTTGATATATAACGTACTTAATCCTCGTCACCCAAACATACTGTACTGTAACCATCGTAACAACCCAGACTTGTTTATTTCACGTGATGCTTAGGCTTCCCCCGCCACTAAGTTATTAAAACACCTTTATATTACCTGGAGGGGTTAGGTTAGGTTAGGTTAGGAGAGCTCTAGATTAGTACTTCGGTAGTTTAAGTTAGGGTAGATTATGTTGATTAAGTTAAGTTAGCTGTAGTTAGGTTAGGTTAGGTTAGGTTAGGTTAGGTGAAATAAACTGAGGAGGAGCTAACCTTCAAGTGACCCCTCCCCCCCCACTTACTGTAATACCCACAATGCCTGAGAGAACACGGCCATCTGACAGTCATCTCTTGTGGTCGTGAACTCAGATGAACACCCGGAAGTGGACACACACACACACACACACACACACACACACACACACACACACACACACACACACGCACGCGCACAAACTTACATGTATACATTCTTACATAAAGTGACATTGATTTGTGTAGGTTACTGAGTAGCAACTTTTGGTGGTGGCGGTAGTGGTGGTGGCGTGGTGGTGGTGGAGGTGATGGTTGTAGTGGTGGTGGTTGAAATTGATGGTAGTAGTGGTGGTGGTTGAGGTGATGGTAGTAGTGGTGGTGGTGGTGGTAGTAGTGGTGGTAGTGGTGGTGGTGGTAGTAGTAGTAGTGGTGGTGGTGGTGGTACTGGTGGTAGTGGAAGCAGGGGCGGATCCAGGAATATCAAAAGAGGGGGAGGGGGGTCCAAGAACTTATGTGTGAGGAGACATGGCGAGCACAGTGAGTATTTTGAGGCCATGTGCACTTGATATTAGGAGATTTTCTGAGGTCAATAGTAGTTAATTTCTACTATACAAAAACGCCTGAGTACAATACTGCATAAAAGAAACATATTAGAATTTTATGATGAAAGGTGGGCGGACCTCCAGAACCCCCCTGGATCTGCCCTTGTGTGGTGGTAGTAGTGGTATGTGGTATGTGGTGGGTCAATGCCAAGGTTATGATAATGCTACTGTGTATTGATCAGTCTCTCTCTCTCTCTCTCTCTCTCTCTCTCTCTCTCTCTCTCTCTCTCTCTCTCTCTCTCTCTCTCTCTCTCTCTCTCTCCACACATGTTAGAGTATGTAAATATGTTTGTTTTTGTATGTGTATGTATGTGTGGGGGGAGGTGCCTGTGTATCTATGTGCGTGTCTGTCAAGGTATATATGTGTGTGTGTACGTGTCTGAGTGTGTGTGTGTGTGTGTGGGGGGGTTGCATGTCTGTGTGCGTGTCTGTCTGGTGTGTGTGTATCCTTCTGTCTGTTTTTCCATCTATGAATAAATCTATCTGGTTATGTCTGTCTGTCTGTCTGTCTGTCTGTCTGTCTGTCTGTCTGTACACCACACCCGGATCATAACACACTGTACAGACACAAGCACAGACATCAAGACCAAAACACGACAGGAACTCGTATATATAAACAGGATGGTCAAGCAATAC